CCCCAAAACCCCAAAACCCCAAAACCCCGGGATGTGGTAAGTAGATTGAGATATCTGAATATTATTTTGATTTTAGCATTGACATTGCTTTTTCAGAAGAGATTTCGTATGGTATTTTATATTCTCTTCCTTTAGTGTCTGAATATATACCTTCTTCACATTTGCTTTGTGCCCATTTTCCTGAAAGTGATCTTCCATCTGGCTTGGTAAGATTTCCGATTCCATAATTTTTACCGTTCTTGTAATTACCAAAATATTCCATTCCATGTGACCAAGAAACAGAGCTATACCCATTTAGTGCATTATCCTCCCACTGGCCTTCACAGATATATCCACTACTTCAGGCCAACTTCCCATAGCCTTCGTTCTTATTATCAACAAAATCTCCTTCGTATACATCTCCATTTGGGTAAATTTCAATCCCAAAGCCATTGCGTTTACCAGTCCTCCACTGACCTTCATACCTATACCCTGAGTTTAGAACAAATGTCCCTGTGCCTTCAAATCAGTTATCCACAAATTCTCCATTATAATAAGAAAGGTCAGAACTGGTGATCAAAGTTCCTTTCCCATTGGCCAACCCATTGATAAATGTACCGTGACAAACTTGACCTTGAGAATTAATTTCAATTCCTACTCCTTCTTTGGCACAGGTTTTCCTATTTTTCTGACCAAAATAAAAACTGTCCCAGTGATCGTGCTTAGTAATTGGCACAAACTCTAGACCAGGTGACGAAAGATATTTTATACTTGGCTTTTGTAATGAAGCATAAATTTTGAATACACTTTCACTCATCATTTCTGTCATAACACCCATTGCTTGAGGGTAATAGACCCAGAAGTTATCCTCGATTTTCAAAAGCTCTTTTAGTTCTAGATATTCTTCTTGGCTTAAGTCAAAACGAAACGACTTTTGTGCAAGGAAGTTAAACCTCTCCACTCCCTCCATTTTATTTTATACCTATCCAACCTCCTTGTCCACTTCGGGGTTTTGGGGTTTTGGGGTTTTGGGG